CATTGCCACGTGTCGCCATTTTGTTGATTACAATTACACTTTGATCCGAAGCCCTAATTAGAAGGATAATCTTAAACTAAAACTAATCTGATTGGCCTTCCTTACGGCTTCAGGAAAACCTAATAGCTTCGTAACTAAAATTATTTCTCACGGATCAGATTTTTCTTGCAGAACAGTCCTCCGAACAATAGTCAGAATTGAATTGAAAAATTATAATCAACACTTATGCTACATGAATTTTGCATCGACCAGGTATCTTGAAAACATTTTCTATTATAAATGGACAGACGTAGAAGAGTTCAACTGTCAACCAGATTATTGAGCTTATGGTAAGCAACAGAGTTTGAAAATATGCTTAATAAACACGTAGAGCAGCAAAACAATATATTCCCTCTAAAAGAAGTTTCTAACAAATATCACTCTATTTATTTGCGTATATGATGTAGTACCAAAATACTCCCAGGGGAGAATGTTCTTGTGGAGGCCAGTGTTTTGCGTGTGCGAGCACATTGCTGCATGAGGGGCGTTAGGTATTGCGTATATGGTTTCCATACTTATTACTTGCATTGCTTTCTTTCAATCATTTAGTGTCTTGCTTGATTGAAAAATTAGCTTCATAGGAAACAAATTTCCATGGTGTTTTGTTTATCAATTCAATGATCGATGAGAAATTGACAAAATCAGATCCTGTACTTACGTCATCCTAAGTTATCTCTGCGAATAAGAGGAATTAATTATTTTGTCCATTAAAACTTTAAATACTTCCAAAAAACTTGATGCTGTTAATTTCACATGAAATCCGAAGCTCTTTCGAAGGGGGGAATGAGTCGATTCAAATCTTAAATTATTTAAAATATACATCACAAAAGTTGAAACTACGATTTGACTGGACAAGCTTTCCTCGAGATTGAGTTCTAAAGCTTGAAGTTCTATGTCGAACGCGTTAAAACTATTCAAAATTCTTCGCAAGACACAGCACTGGAAAAGTTGGTATGGAGGCGCAGCCACAGTCGGTCATTTTATCGTTGGTAGCAAACCGCGCGCAGAACTCAGTCGAAAGGTCGGTGAAATCGTTGACAAAATTGTTTACGTTGTAAGGCCTCATGTTTAGCCAATACCACATGCCGTCCATTTTCTTCAGTCCCATCCAAACTTCCGGACGCGGACCTTATAGATAGATTTATGAATTGAATATAAGCAGGTGAAAAACATAGTGTGCTATCAATCTTTCGCTATTTAACTTACAGTTAATTCATTGAAATGGTCAAATTAAAGTTCAAGTTTTGGCTTCTGTGAGTAGGTGACAAAATAAAGTTACACTCTCGCTGTCAAGATCAAGATCTATCAAGATAAGCATCTGCAAGTGATGCTCGTAATAAACATTTGAGTTGTAAATGTACACAATAGAACAAGTCTGTCCTTGCAGGTACAGAGTCGTGTCAACAGTGCACAAGCAGTCAGTCGGTATATGATTGACTACTCACGTCGAGACATGAAGCACGGACTTGCAGAGTGAGATATGACGGCGACGCCCACGGCCACGCCGCGAGTCTGCCACCAAGAGCAGCGCGGCGCTTCGTAACAAACCAGCGCCGCCTGGCCGAGCGTCGCCCAAGCCAGGCACTGCATGCGGTCTTCTATCACCGATGAATTTTTCGCGAGGCTTGCGTCAGCGGCAAGAGCGCTTGTATCGCATCGACTTGGCTGCCATACTTGCGAGGTTTTAGTGAGTACAGCGTAAGCTACTGGCAATGCAATCAAAACAATCGGCTTCATTGTGTGCATCGATGCTGCTTCGAGTACAATTTTCACTCGAATATTAGTGAGCAAACGCTTTTGTTGGTAATTTAATATTTGGAACTTGATTTTTCAGTAATTGCGTCCGTGGGCGGCTATATTGTAATCGCGCAAGTGTTAACTGCTGGTAGCGTTCCTATCGGATCTGCAAGAAAATTAACAATAAATTGAAGCGAAACATAACTTAGAACATGAAATTAGATAATTTATTCATAAATTTAGTTGGCAAGAGTCAGTTTTCAATTATATTGATATGTTTGTTTATATAACTTGTTCTGTAGCTGAATGTTCACTGTGTGCACTATTAGATGTAAACATATTGTGAGCTTTATTGTAAATTGTGGGAAAGTTCGGCGGAAGTTGATCTTCAATGGAAGTACGCCTGAAGACCGGAGAATGGAGTTTATTGAATATTTTCTTGTTTGCTTTTTAATTCATAAACGAGTTTTCAAAAAACTTTATAATTTATTAAGTAAAATGAAAGTTTTTCAACTCTAAGAATTGAGAGATTAGAAATTTTGAGAAGAAAATTTTCTGAAAGTACAATTTTATCTTATTTCGAATACAACTTGAAAATATAATAAATTAAAATTCGGTAGTCTGAAAATAATTATCTAAACTGAAATGAAAAACATTTCTCATACAATTTTCTTAATAAGAGCTCTTATGTGACTTCAGAGGCCGCCCGTCACGTACGACTACCGACGTTCAAATAGGCTAGAGTTGCTTCAAGTATTGCATATTAGATGCTGAAAAAATTACTGCATGCTGCAAAGAGAATTATTTCAGGAGGGCCCATTAATCTTACTCGTATAATTCACGTCGGTCATCAGTAGAAACAGAAACGAATTTTGCGAAGTTTTAATGTACCAAATTGGTAGGTGCACAAGACGTTTGAGTGCTGGACTTTGGGAAGAATATAAACAGTTTGGCTACACTTGCGCAAAATTTATTGGCGATTTTAGCCTAATATATGTTCATCGAATACTAGAATTATCGAAGAACAAAGAAATAAGTGTTTGAATTATGAGCGATTTTGAAGCAAGTTATTGGCAAAAGTTAAACACTCCTTTAGTTGTATAATCAATTTCAATACATCTTCATTTTCTTAGCATAAGAGTAAGAGCCAAGAAGACCATAGCGCAGGCAAATCAGATATGCGAAAAATTGTCTCAATTCTTACGTTGAATTAATTCAGTCGCAAAAATTCCTCAGTGGTGCCGGTGAAATTAGATTTTCAGTTGAAACATAAAAAATTACAATTTTATGCTTATAAGCTGATGAAATTAGTGAAAGTATGAACACAAATAATTTGATTCAATCCAGTGTCATATAGCAGTGAACGCTATTGAATTAGTTTGATCCAATTTCATGAAGCAGTGAACACAATTAAATTCTACTTCTATCTGACTAAATTCACCTAACACATGGGATGACGTCTGATTTCGCCTGCAAATTGCAATACAAATATTTCAGCTTTTCGTTTGATGTGATTTGAACAATAAAAATTATAATTTTTCAACATTGGCATTATAGAAAATGACTTATAAACGGAAAAAAACTAAGATTTTCTTTCAAAATTTCAAAGTTTGGCATAAATTTTAATTTAAAACTTGCTCTGTGTATCGTATGATTTGGGTGACGTTTCACTATGCGCATTTGATTTATAACCTCAATGTGGCCCTGCTTTACTTCACCTTTCACCCAGAATCCTTGAGTAGTTCGTTGCTTGACCTCGTAGCCGCAACTCCTAGGGTGCTGATGAAGCTTAGAGCAAATTCTATTCCATCATATTTTTCGACCCTTCAGGTGAGCTTGGACGGACGAAATTTGAAGAATACTCGGCCCCGGTTTACCTTTGGACTCTTGGAGCTCAGCATAAGTGCGGTCGGGAATTTTAAACGTGATGTGGGGACGTGGAAGTTTTTGGTATCGTCAGCGCTAGGATCATCCTCGTCTCTGACCCCACGGTTCCCATTTCTATTGGTACGACTATTTTGGCCTCTGCAACTTCTGCACAGGTGTGGACCAGCCCCAAGATCCAGCGCTGCACCAGCGATTCACCGAAGGATTTTTTAGTACTTCCGGTACGTCATCCTACCTTCGTAGGCACTGAACAATTTGCGGCGGTGAGGTGCTAAATCCTTTTCTTTTTCAGACCAGACTAAATAATAAGACCGTAATAATCACTGCTTGGATAATCCTTGATAACTTTGAATTTATAATTGCTTCTCATTGCAAGATCTTCTTAAGTGTTTCATGTGTTATAAAATGTGAGGTAATAATTTTCACAAGCTCGGCATACTTTCTGCTAATACGATTCACGAATTTTTTCTTTGATGACCTCTTACCGCATCGAGCATTTCCTTTCAACGTCCGAGCTAATTTTATGCCTTGCTTAACCACCGTTTTCATTTCTTCAGAATTTGTGGGTTAGACATACAGGGGAACGAGTTGGCGTTTCATTTGCCTTGATCCGTGAAAGGGAGGTAGGCTCGGTCTTCCATTTTTCACTCAACTTAGTCAAAAATTCTCATACAGAAGATCATTTGGCCATAATAAATATATCAGTCTTGCAAATAAGATTTATGTTCTTTAGAGGATCGTCGTTCATTCTTGAACGTCAATGCACTAAATAATTCTGTAGTATACTTGCAGACAACATAACATAACATAACATAGTGATGTCGGCTCTGAAGTGTAGGCCTGATGTGGCCTGTCGCCGAGTCTTTTCCATTTCGTGCCTTGTTCATAGATCTAAACTCGTGTCATTTGACCGGATCTTTTCATGACTGGCGATACTTTGAAGAAGCTACTAGACTTCCACCGGGTTCGATAAATTTCTACATTCAGATGTATTCCACAAGAAACTAATTTTTGAATCCTAAGTCCAAGTCATTAGAGCAAAACAACTTTAGAAACAGTTTTAAAATTGTAAAGTTTATGCAGCTCATCAATAAATAAATAGCACCTATCCGATTACTGCCTCAGGTTTTGACCAATGCAGAGCATGAATCATGAAAAGCTTTTAGTAAGGCCATGATTTTCTTGCCATTTTACTTCTGGGAACAGGTAATGGACTTCTCAATCTATTGAGATCTTTATTACACTTTGTTCTGATTTAACCGACAAACACGCCAAGCTAGAAACAGGGAAGTGAACTATGACTCATAATGAACATTGATCGATCATAATACATGGAGGACTAAATGGACGTCTTCCAACCACTCAAGCCACTGAGTAATACGTGGAATTATTATCGCTTCCAAATACCGGCCAGTGTAGCTCCATTAGAAGCTCTTCATTCATTTCGTTTATGTGTCCATTTACAAAAGAAGACGATCGGAGAGACGTGCTTAGATTGTGTTGCTCCATTCTCTGACCACTTCATATATGAAGATATAAAGCTTATATAGTAAAGAGATCTAGTTTGTGTCGAAAACAGCCCAGAAAGAAATTTTAATCAAAATGTTTGTATACGATCTTATAGGAGTAATTGTGATCGAAACATCGCTCATGTTGGCGTGTTTACCTCGACGGCAACTTTCATCGGGCCAACTATGGCTCCCGTGCACTGTAAACAAAACCGCCATCGAATCTTCAACGCTCGTGCACAAACTGGCCTCGGTTTGCTCGAATGAAATGTTTTGCGCTCTTCACGCCACGAGGATTCAGGGCGTGAGCCTGTATTGCGTGGACGATGGTCGCTGCGAGATGTGGGACGAGGCAAGTCTCTTCGTCGGGAACCCGCAACTACACGAGGCCAATACTGGCTGCTTCCTCGTCGGCGCGGGTGAGCATTGAATATTATTCAGGGAATATGGCTAAATGAGAATTCCAGGATACTCGTTGAGTGCATACTGCATAATTTGAAATAAAGCACACAGTCACTAAAAATCGTCCTATCAATTCACAGTAAAACTAGCAATTCGTAGTAACATGTTAGCATGCAAATGGTTGGTATCAACTGTTATCTCAATTTGAGAGTTAAGCAGCATTGTAATGCCAAAGACACCAGATTAGATGGATTAAAGCAGCTCGAATTCATTCATTTTTTATGCATAAAATCTTATCGAACTTTGTACGTTTCTGTATCATGATTGAGTGGATAATTTTTTTAATACAGGCTGCACAAAATTCGATGGCAGCGGAAAAGTGGAGGTCGGAGAACTTGTTCCAAAATCTCGTCAGGATGCATACGTTTTATACTTTTACGACGTTACATTATTGGGTGAAGTTGTGGTTGGGTAACTCTAAAAGAGTTAATGAAAGTTGCTCGGGCTGCAAATTCGCAAAAAGTTATTTCACGGACAAGTGCTTCAATGCAGCAGCTGGGGCCAAATTTCCACACCAGTTATATTGCTGCTCTGGGTGAACTATACAATAATAAGATACAAACATCTTTCAAGGCAACGGCGTAAAATTCTTTTCAGTTAGTGAAACAACAAACCAAGTTGCAGTCTTAAATTTAATTTATGATTGTCATGATTATTATTGTTTGAATTTTTCTTTAATACGAAAAAATTGTTCAAGGAAAGATGGCGCGATAATGATCACCATTGCATAGAGTTTAAAAAGAATTTCAAATTTAATATCCGTTTTCACGTGTTCGTTAAACTCCCACATTCAGATGTATTCCCCAAAGTACTAATTTCTTAATCCTCAATCCAAGTCACTAGAGCAAAACAACTTTAGAAACAGTTTTAAAATTGTAAAGTTTATGCAGCTCATCAATAAATAAATAGCACCTATATCCGATTACTGCCTCAGGTTTTGACCAATGCAGAGCATGAATCATGAAAAGCTTTTAGCGAGGCCATGATTTTCTTGCAATTTTACTTCTGGGAACAGGTAATGGACTTCTTAAACGATCGAGATCTTTATTACACTTTGTTCTGATTTACCCGGCAAACACGCCAAGCTAGAAACAGGGACGTGAACTATGGCTTATAATGAACATTGATCGGTCATAATACATGGAGGTCTAAATGGACGTCTTCCAACCACTCAAGCCACTGAGTAATACGTGGAATTATTATCGCTTCCAAATACCGGCCAGTGTAGCTCCATTAGAAGCTCTTCATTCATTTCGTTTATGTGTCCATTTACAAAAGAAGACGATCGGAGAGACGTGCTTAGATTGTGTTGCTCCATTCTCTGACCACTTCATATATGAAGATATAAAGCTTATATAGTAAAGAGATCTAGTTTGTGTCGAAAACAGCCCAGAAAGAAATTTTAATCAAAATGTTTGTATACGATCTTATAGGAGTAATTGTGATCGAAACATCGCTCATGTTGGCGTGTTTACCTCGACGGCAACTTTCATCGAGCCAACAATGGCTCCCGTGCACTGTAAACAAAACCGCCATCGAATCTTCAACGCTCGTGCACAAACTGGCCTCGGTTCGCTCGAATGAAATGTTTTGCGCTCTTCACGCCACGAGGATTCAGGGCGTGAGCCTGTATTGCGTGGACGATGGTCGCTGCGAGATGTGGGACGAGGCAAGTCTCTTCGTCGGGAACCCGCAACTACACGAGGCCAATACTGGCTGCTTCCTCGTCGGCGCGGGTGAGCATTGAATATTATTCAGGGAATATGGCTAAATGAGAATTCCAGGATGCTAGTAGCGTGCATACTGCATAATTTCAAATAAAGCATTCTGTCTCTAAAAACCGTTCCAAAAATTCACATTAAGATTATCAATTCGTAGTAACATGTTAGCATGCAAACGATTGCTATAAAATGGCATCTTAATTTGAGTATTAAACAGTATTGTAATGCCAAAGACACCAGATTAGATGGGTTAAAGCAGTTCGAATTCATTCATTTTGTATGCATAAAATCTGATCAAACTTTGTACGTTTCTGTATCATGATTGAGTGGATAATTTTTTTAATACAGGCTGCACAAAATTCGATGGCAGCGGAAAAGTGGAGGTCGGAGAACTTGTTCCTGAATTCAATTGCAATCTTTTCTTCCCTTACGTCTGCACTGCTTCTGGTTTACTCAAGCCACATGGTAAGTAAAGATAGAGTAATGGTACAGAACTGCAGGTTGACGCAGTGAAATTAAAACTGACTTTGTTGAATTATTGAATGTGTATTCCAGACCAGCCACTTACTGTGTTGTTATCAAGGGGTATGTAATGCTAAATTAAAACAAATTTGAAAAAATATTAACCAAACATTATTTATCGCTTTTCGCATTTTTATCGACCTCGCTTGGCTACCAAGAAATCAACAGTAATGATAATCTTGCGAATCTCTTAATACTGCCATTTAGCATTGAACGCCCTCTCCCAACATATTTCTTCTCTTATAACACAACAGTGAATGCAATCTTCCGTCGGTCGACCTGCAATGCACCTTTCAACAAGACCCAGTTCGGTTGCCTGCTCTTCGGCTTGGATTACCAAACATACCCCGCAGCTCGAACTACATGCTTGTCTTACGGAGCAGACTTGTTTGCGTCCGAGTCAGTCGACCAGACGTCACTTCTCTCTCAGTTCATTCAGAATACTTTCGGTAGGTTGATGTTGATGTCGTAGGTATTTGTCATGAAATTCGGCGACTAAATTCCTATTACTTGAAATTTCAAACCAGTAACATTATTACAGATTTGTCTCTGTCTGAAACGCCAGTAATGGCCTTCTCATTAATCTTTGTCACGATACTGTTTTAGTCAATGTTGGTCATTCAATTTTTCGTTGGAACAATCGTTTGATGGAACGTTTTATCGACGTCGATACCGCCCTCTAAGGACCTTGCACGGCTTAGGTTCATGTTCAGCTATTTTTGTGATGAAGCTATGAAAGATCTATTAGTATTGAAATACAATTCATTAATGTCACCAAACTTTTAAACACCAGGTATTGAGGTCATATGTATCGGACCCGCGATTTCTAAACTTTATCACCGTGTTATCCAATTAAGTATGTTACACTACCCAGACATGACTCTTTATTGTTCCCGGTATATTTATTGTATTTAAACCACTCCGGCATTCCTGAATTCACTGCTACTCAAGTACTGTACCACCACACGATGCCCTTAAACCACCGCACTAGACGATGCTCTCAAACCACCGCACTAGACCATGCCTTGAAACCACCGCACTAGACGATTCTTCCAAAGCACTGTACTAGAAAATGCCCTCAAACCACCGTACAAGATGATGTCCTCAAACTACCGCAATAGACGTGGCTCTCAAACCACCGCACTAAACGATGCCCTTTAACCACTGTACTAGACGATTCCCTTAAACCACCGCACTAGAAGATTCTTTCAAACCACTGTACTAGAAAAAACCCTCAACTAACCGTACAAGATGATATCCTCAAGCTACCGCAATAGACGTGGCTCTCAAACCACTGTACCAGGCGAAGCCGTCAAACCACCGCACTAGACGTCGCCTTTAATCAAACGTACTAGACGAGGCCCTCGAACCACCGTATTAAACGATGCTTTCAGTCGAGGCAAAAAACACGTGTGAAAAATTATCAACTTGGTTTTTACGTAAAAGCACTCGATTACAATTAGGTTACTTGCATGGTTTGTGTAACACAGTGATGTAATCGTGCCATATTGTTGAAATTATTTTGAATAATGAACAAATTCGTAACAGTTAACCCAACTCGTAATTGAATTGTAATCGAATCAAACGATGGGCAGGCCGCAACGTTGCATTTTGGGCGGGCGTTCGTCAGATGCCTAATGGAAACTGGATTTGGTTCAACGGTCGTGGTCTGGACTCACGCGAAATCGGAAACTTTACCAACCACTCGAATGAAAAATTTGCGCGCTTTCAGGGCAGTGGCTACAAACTATACGACGTCGGCTGCGAAGGCGTGTATGGAGTGATATGCCAATTGAAGGTGTAGGCGAGCGTTGGGTCAGAAATATGGTGGCCATGAGAAGCGAGTCGATAATTTGTGATTGAACGTAGTCCACGAGGCTCATATGGGCAAGTTAATCATCGGCACTGGTAACCATCGGAGTTTGTAAAATGGAGATTTTCGAGACAGCATTTTGCAAAAAGAGAACCCAATAACTTTAAACTATTAATGTTACTAGACCACCGTACACTGACGGCACTGATACCATAGTATTGGGTACTCGGCGGTTGTGCACTATCGCCACACCACTTCCACTATCTGTCAATGTTTGCTGTTTTCAAGTTTTTGTATTGATCGTAGTTTTTCCCGCCACGTCAGTTGTACACCGTTCGGTCAGAGTTTCTGCTGCTGACCGTAGATTGATAGTTACGATAGCAATAACGGTGTCAACGTTGATTAGCCTATTAGATCTGTCACCGATCCTGAACATCGCAAAATTTTCACCGCTTGTTGCGGGTCTCGAAATTGTAACTCACTGCTTCAATTTTTTTGTGCTTAACCGCCAGCCAACTCACCGATTTGACTAGAATTGTCACAGTTAGCTGAGATCGAGCCCACAACTTACTACTCTAATCTAGGTACCCTGAACTATGACGCTGGGCCACGTTGTTCAATTAGCCACCTGCTAACGTCATCCAATAATGGTTCACTCCTCTGAACTATCGTTATATGCCTCATGTGGGAAGTGGTGAATTCAAATGCGTAGTGCAGAGAAAGTTCAGTTATCATCGTATAGAAGTGCATATAACGGGGAACTGAAATTGATTCGCTTATACTTCGCCCATGTTTGAAACTTTTAAATTGTTCTGTAGTTATTCGATGTCGCAGTTGTTACTAAAAATTGACCAAAATAATTGCAGTGTTAATGCACGATATTTAAGCTTTCTCTAGTTAGCCATGGAGTACTTGAAGTTTTGCTCTTACTAAACTTAAATAAGTTAAACCGAATTTAATATGGTTCGTATAAATGCACTACAAAGAAATTTTAGTACGTAGAAATATTGTGTGTATTCGGAGTGGATTTTGGGCTATTTAGATTTAAAAACATATAAATAATAATTT